GATCATGAAGTAAGTGTTTTTATATCATAAATGAACTAAACATAGAATATTACAAAACCAGGCTTTTGATTATGTTAATTTGATGTATTTATTTTAAAATAATAGGGCACGAAGGTTCTCACTATGGTGAATAGTGGAGACATTGATCAAGTTAATCGAGTATTGGATATCCATAAAATATATAAAATAACAAATGCTGCTATGATGCCGACTAAATGCAATGTCCCATCACCATCTCCCCACTATAAATACATCTGGATGATTAGTAGACAGACATATATTGACCCAGTTCCAGATTTTGAACAGATTAAAATACCAGATGAGGTAAAAGAGATGCTGACACCATTTAATGAGTTTTACGGCATTAGTGCAAGTAAAACCCCCATAAGTAAGTCATTTAATTTCTCTTTTCTTATATAGATATACAGTTGTTTACTACCACTTTGCATCAGATCTGTACTTTTGTATACAAATTTCATGGCCGTTGTCATAGAAAAATACCGAGAGAGTACATCTCAGTTGGATTCACAAGAAAAAATAGCACATGATTTCACCATTTTTTATGAGGAGTAAGTAATCCGCATGAAAAAATATTTAAAGATACACAGAAATAACATTTTGAATGATTGCTTGAATAGAATGAAGCTTATGCTGCTTACACTGTGGGAAGAGTTTGCGACGAACCAAGGGAAGGAAATCACGTCCCTCTTAGAAACTAGGCATTTCCAAATAATTATTGTAAAAAGGGTTAATTTTACTGCCTTTAATGGTAATATATTATTTAGCAAAGTTTATATACATAGAAAAAGAATTATTGAATTAACCGACAATAAGTTGATGTGGATTTCTAACAGGTGTTTCTCTGTCTTCTCGATTTGATGCAATGTTTGAAGTTGACCCTGCTCATACAACATTTGAATCCCTTAAGAAATGGTATGAACATACACTTATGTTAAGAATAAATAGTAGAAATCACATTCATATGAATGTAATACTTATAATAACACTTTAATAGGCGAGATGACAGCATAGACCTTTTCAAGAGGTTCATTGGCCTGAAGGCATATAAAGATGCTCTAAATGCACTGCCCAAAGTTAAAACTTTCTGAGGTTTGCCAAGTTAATACCCAGGTATGCACCATGGTTGAGCATCGTTGAATGACTGAAATTAGATATTTATTATATTTTCTCGTGTGGATTAAGTTTTAAATTTCACACTCCAAATTTAGGGCAAAGGAGTTTGGGTTACAGTAGATATGAGAATTCTCGATGATGAACCAAATTCCTACATTGGCTAATGGCTATGACTATTGTAATAAAAAAGTTTGTGGACCACGTGGTGAGAAGAAGTGAGAATTCTCGATGATGAAAAGTTTGATGCTTAAAGAGAAAGGAGGCATTAAATGGTTATGGACACCATGGTCGGTCTAAACATAATATGTGCTAGAAGAAAGCTAAGATGTAAATAATATTTGATAATAAATAATAATAGTAATAACAACAACAAAAACAACCTCTTTAAGAATATCAACAGTTATTATAGAGTTAAGTGTTAGAATTGTTTTGATTTAATTTGTCCAAACATTATTGCGGCCATAGTTCGAGTGATGAACTAGGTTTTGCTTTACTTATGTATATACTCTGCGCGCACGTACCTGACGTACGAGGTATATATTACAGAGCGAGAGGGATCCAAATGTAACCTGGGACAGATGGAGTATTTTACTTGAAGTCAATCTGTAGATCTACTCTGCTTTCTTATTTTTAAATTTAGGAACTCCACTTTTCTTTAATAAACTAGAATTTATGACTGACAGAATTGAATCTAAAAATTGTTTTTCAGGCCTTGCTGCATTTCGTCCTCGAACACATGCATCATCTTAAATATCTTCAGTTGAGAAAGGACGACCTGTGCTACAAGGACTTTTGGGAATTGCTTTTTTGGCTGAAGAGGTGCTTCGTATTTTTTTTGGAATTTTTTTTAAAGATGAAGCCGTGCTCCGTATTCACTTTTTTGGCATTTATTTATTAGGAACCAGCCAACTAGGTTAATGGAATGATGATTTTCAGCTACAGTTAGAATTGTAGCTTGCAAATGTTTATTCAATGACATATTGTTCTACCCTACTCTACTCTGTGTGTGTGTGTGTGTGTGTTTGGGGGGGTGGGGGATTAAACACAGTGTGAAATTTCAAATTCTTAGAGTTAAATTGGAGCCTTTCTTTATATTAAGGAAAAATGACTAGAACGGGTTATACTTGGGTCAATTTTACATAATAGGTTAAACTTCAACTTACTTATTTAAGTTATTTTGCAACATAGGTTCATACTACCCGAACATCCTAAGAAATCCTATTTGGCAACCCTCAATAGTTATATGGAATCTTTATAGTATACTGAAGCTAGCGCAGTGACATACCCTCTCTCTCTCTCTCTCTCTCGATATCAACCCTTCCGAATCACTCTCTCTCACCTAAAACACCCCCTTCCCTTTCTCACTCTTTCCCCTCCCCCACAACCATCTCCACCACCTTCGTTATCAACCAGCACTCTCAAGTACCACCTTACTCTTGTCATCACTCTCACACGCCAGACCCACTCCCCACCCTACCCATAAAGTGAACCTCTGTTTAAAGGAGAGGGAAAGGGGAGGTGTCGATGAAGTTAGTGGGGGTGGAAGGCGAAGTTCTCTGGTGGGGGTGTACATTGTAAGGGATACTAGTGTGAGTTCTCATATTTTGGGTTGGAGAAGGGCATTCGAAGGGTTGGTTGGTGCTGGGTATGTGGGAGTAGTGGGAAGGGAGGGTAATGGGGTTGTGAACTAGAGGGCTGGGAAATGGTGTTTAAAGGGATTGGACGGACTTGGATCATGAGTTCCAGTAGGGGTTCATAAAATTCCAGTGTGGTAGGGGTGGGGATCATGAAGTTCCAGCTATAAGTCGCCAGATTCAGCTATTTGAGGGAAAATTGGTGTGGTGCCAGGCTGTGAATTGGAGGACTTAGCAAAGAGGGGGAGAAAGGTCATGGGTAAGACTGAAGG